ATCAAAATGGTGCCTGAGGACATGGAGAAAACAACATTTGTCACGCAGTGGGGCACTTTCTGCTATAAGGTGATACCATTCGGACTAAAGAACATTGGGGCAACCTATCAGCGTGCCATGGTAGCTCTATTTCACGACATGATACATCACGAAATAGAGGTCTACATGGACGATATGATAGCCAGATATCAAACAGAAGAAGATCATCTTGATCACTTACAAAAACTGTTTGAGAGACTGAAGAAGTACAAGCTGAGGTTGAATCCAAACAAATGCACATTTGGGGTACGATCTGGTAAACTCCTAGGCTTTATCGTCAGCAACAAAGGTATCGAGGTCGATCCTGCCAAAGTTAAATCAATACAAGAGATGCCTGCTCCTCGCACTGAAAAGGAAGTCATAGGATTCTTGGTACGTTTGAATTATATTGCCAGATTCATTTCTCACCTGACAGCTACTTGTGAGCCAATCTTCAAACTATTGAAGAAAGATCAAGTAGTCAAATGGAATGATGAATGTCAAGTTGCTTTTGACAAAATCAAGGAATACTTACAAGAGCCTCCTGTGTTGATGCCACCAGTCGAGGGAAGACCGTTGATCATGTATCTGACTGTTTTAGAAAACTCAATGGGGTGTGTATTGGGGCAGCATGATGAGTCTTTCCGAAAAGAGCATGCTATTTACTACCTGAGCAAAAAGTTTACTGACTGTGAAACCAGATATTCACTGCTCGAGAAAACTTGTTGCGCTATGGCATGGGTTGCTCGTCGGCTAAGACAGTATATGCTGACTCATACTACCTTGTTGATATCTAAAATGGATCTGATAAAATACATCTTCGAGAAGCCTGCTCTTTCTGGGAGAATAGCGAGATGGCAGATGATTCCGACGGAATATGACATACATTATACTACCCAGAAAGAAATAAAGGGCAGTGTATTAGCCCATCACCTTGCTCACCAAGCTCTAGAAGACTACCAGTCCATGAAATTCGAATTTTCGGATGAAGACATCATGACATTAGACAACTGTGAAGAATTCAAGCCATATGACGGACCTGAACAAAGATCCCGATGGACCCTGTTCTTTGATGGAGCATCCAATGCACTCGGAAATGGTATTGGTGATGTACTCTTATCTCCAGAAGGGTGTCATACTCCCTTTACTGCCAGACTTTGCTTCAATTGTACAAACAACATGGTGGAATACGAAGCGTGCATCTTCAGTCTCAAAGCTGCCATAGACTTGGGGAACAAATCCTTGGATGTATTCGGAGACTCAGCTTTTGTTATCATCCAGATCAAAGGTGAATGGGACACCAAACACCCAAACCTTATCCCTTACAAAGAACATGTTTTGACATTGCTACCATATTTTGAGAAGATTACCTTCAAGCATTTCCCGCAAGAAGAAAATCAAGTTGATTTGTCCAAAAGGTTTAGATTGGGGTGTTTCTTATTATTATTAATTAATAATTGATTTCATATCAAGTTAAACAATTGAACTCTAAATTGGGCGTTTTTTATACTTTGTTGGTAGTGGTATTTTTTTTTCTCTCTTCCAAACTGAGCCTTAACTGCGTCTTGTGTGTATAATTTTTCAGTTACTTTGAAGCACCTTATATCTACTTGTCCAGCGCCGATTCAAACCTACCCCTTTTCCTGCATCAAGTCTGTTGTACCCCAAAATTTTCCCTCTCATTTCTCAAGGGATCATCCTGGACCCTCAGGTTTGCTCCTATCAAGTTTCAAATCTTGAATTATAACTTTTCAAGAAAATCATTCACAAGGGCAAAATGGTCAAAAGCACACTGTAAAGTCAAACTTTGACTTTTAGATCAAAAACCAAGTTTCAAAAATTATATTTCATCAAGACATAAAAATTTTTCATCAAAAAATCAGAAGTCAGAAATTACTTTGAAAAAAATCAAATTTCTAAACATTTAGAAAATTTTCTAAGTGTTAAGAGAATATGATATTTTAGAACTTTTGGGTCAGCCTTCACGCGAGTGCAATCAGAATTTGCAGACACGGTTCAGAACATGATGCTTCAATCAGAACATACGGAAGCAATGTATTTCGGTCAGAACATGACCCTTCAGCATATGGAGGTTACGTTTCTGATTTTCTGCGATCAGAACATCACTAAATCCCAAAACCTCGTTTAAGCAGCCTGCTGCCCTGCTATATCACAGTCCTGCAATCAGCTGTTGATCCAGTCCACGCCTGCACTTTCTCAAACCCCATATTTGCATCAAATTAGCATACAAAAACTGTGATTAAAAAGCAATGGAACAATATGCCAAAAGGTTAAAAATCCCATTTGTTTCCCCCAAAAAACCACAGTAAATCCATTTATAAATAAGTGGCTCCATCACACGTTCAAAGGGCTGGTCTTTTGAGCGAGAAAATTGTCAAAAGAGAGAAAAGAAAAAACTGTGAAACCTTCGTAAAATAATCCAGAATCCCCAAACAGAAAACAAAACCTTTGTTCTTCCCTTTGAATAAAAGAACTTGGCATTTTCTCTCCCGTTGCTCTTGCTGACTCCAGAACATTTGAAGGCAGTAATTCAAGTTCCAAGCACACGTTCCAGATTCAAGGTAAGTCTTTCTGACTTTGCATCTTCTCATTCATAAAATCATTAAATATGTAAATATCACAATAATAATGTTGTCAATATCATTGCATAAGTAGGAAAACTGTGGATCAGAACTTCTTGATTAAGGCTAGGCTCAGAATTAGGATTAGAACTTCTATAAACTACTGTGCTTTTATCCTCCTGATTTGCTGTTAAGGATTGAATAAATTGCTGATATGCTGATTAATATGATGAAAGAGTTGAAATATAACACAAAACTTCTGTTTTTCATTCACCATTTTAACACACAAAATTTCTAGGATTTTCTCACTGTTTAAGCACGCAAAACTTCTGAGTTCTCTTTACCATTTTAACACATAAAACTTCTGATGCTCACTCACTGTTTTAGCACAGCACAGAACTTCTGAGTTCTCCCTACACGTTAAACACACTGAACTTCTGATGCTTCCACTCGCTGTTTTAACACTCAGAATTTCTGATTTTCCACATGCTGACAACACACTGAATTTCTGATGTTCACTCACTATTTTAGCGCAATACAGAACTTCTGACTTTTGGCTCACTATCTGAATACCACCCAGAACCTCTGTTTCCTTTCCCTTTGACGTTTCTTGCGGGACCTCAGAGTGTACCAATCCATAACTTCTGATTTCACTGACGTTCCTTTCTGAGTCACCACGCGCCTGACTTCAGAACTTCTGATCCTTGTTGTTTTGCTTGCAGCAACACGCTGTTTCTATCTTTCATTTACTTTCCTTTTTATAATTTTCAATATTAACCCCCTTTTTTTATTAATATAAAAAGACGTAAAAATATTTTCTTTTATTAATTAATTTATTTCTTTTTCTTAATTCATTAAGACAAAAAAACCACTCTCTAAACAAGTCTTTTTTCTCTCTTACATTATACATTTCAATATGGTTGTAATAGTTAAATAGGATTTAAATTCTTGCAACCCCACATTTGTAAATATGTACACCCCATCCCCCTAATGATTGTAATAGCGTAGAATCTTTATATTCCCGCAATTTATCGCTTTCCAAATAAATGCTAGTAATTAGGGCGTGTATGGCGAGACATGAAATTGACAAGTAGATAACCCTAATCAAGACTAAAATGCATGCAATCAAACACACTTGCACACTAGCACCCTTGGGGTAATCCCACCTTGTTGCCTATCGGAAAAAAGTAGTCATGTCCCTCGAACATGAGCATTTTAGCAAAAGACCCTCGATAAAAGATCGTAGTCCCTCGATGACCCTCGATGTTGCCTTCGATAAACGATTTAGTCCCTCACACGACTTTGCTAAAACGTTCCATGGGTTTCCTTCCATTACTATACAAAAATTTCCCACGCCCGTCCCTTCACATCCAACGATGGGGCTTCTTACCAAATCAATGGTAAGATAGCAACATCTAAAGGAAGAGGAAAAGAATATCTAAGACCTTTTGAGTAGGTAGATTCGCTCATAGTTTCTCGCTTACTCACAACAAAAACATTGTATGCACCAACACATCTCTTTGAACTATTTTCGAAACCAACACTTTGTACGCATTCTTATAAAGACGAGAATCATTGCAAAGTCACATTTTCAAAATACTTTCAAAACCCACACCACAAAGCACATTTCAAAATAAAAGCAAGTTATCTAGCAAGTAACTAAGAGCCCATGGAAAACCATGGATGAAAAGGGTGCTAATACCTTCCCTTTTCATAATCTACCCCCCGAACTCAAGAAAACATCTCTAAAGGTCTTTCATGTGCTTTTTCACCTTTCCTTATTGGATAAAAGAAAAGTCGGTGGCGACTCTTGCTATTCGCAACATTTGCGATCAAATGCAAAACAAAAAGTCAGTTATCCCACCGTATCAAAAAGTCCAACTCAGGTTATCATCCCTTTTTCTTGCTTATAGTTTGTTGTTTTGTTGCTTATATTTTATTGTTTATGGTATTTAAGTATCAATTTAAGCATAGGTTCTGAAATTCAATATTTGTTATTCCAAAAGTGAAAGTAGGAGTTCACTTCTTCTGGTGATTAAGTACCGATCAGAGTTAATTTACGTTTCATATATTGCACATTTGAATCTGATTATTCTGAAATCTTACAGATATGTTGTTGTTGCTGTTGTTGTGCTAAAATCTTGTGGATATGAGTTTTTCTTATTTTTTCTTCGGTTAATTCAATTTCTACGGATTTCAGTTGCTGATATAAGCAATCATCTAACATTTATTTCAACAGTGAAAAAGTTTGATGCATCTTTGAAAGGAATTTACTATTTAACTTCTTTTATTTTTTTTAAGATCATAGAGATCTAGAATTTTCTTTAGCTTAAATTTCAGCACATTGATCTGGCTTCAACACGTGACTTCCTTACAAGATTTATATCTCCATTTTATTCGATGTCACTAAATACAAGTTGCTTGGCTGTACGTGGAAATGATGTGGCCTACTGTCCCATCGCTCATGCATTTTCTATTGTGACATCCACCGATTTTGTCTTAATTTATATGGACAAACAAAAGGTGTCTATTGAGGTCAGTTCGAGTAGTCTTATTTATGATCTTAGTATCTTTATATTAGGAGGTGCTAATTTGGAAATACAACTTATTGAAAATTATGTCTTGTGCCAGGCAAAAACTCATTTAGAGGAGAATGGAATTAAAATAAAAGAGTAAACAGAAGTAAGCATAGACGCGACATTGCTTGCAACTAATGAGCTTGATTCCGTGTGTACTGCCAAAAGTGTAAATGGTAAACATCAAGCAGGAGAAGAGAGTAGCAACCTCATATGGGTTGATCCAGCTTCATGCTGTTATGCTTTATATTCAAAATTGAACCCTGATACAGTTCTCTTGCAACAATCACCTTTGGCTCTTCCAAAAGCTTTAAAGGTTCTATGCTTAAACTATTTTATAAGGATATTTGATTTTTATGCAACTTGAACTGACCCAAACAAAAAAATTTGGATTGTAGATCATAAGTTCATGGTCATGTAAATAGAATATTATCGTATCATGAGTAAAACTAAACTCCTTTAAAATGAATAAAATGTTTTGAGTTGATCAATTTATTATGTCGTCTGATTAATTCCTATATTATTTTATTTGTTGTGTTTTAGTTTGAAGGGTCATCTACTCGCACTTCAGAACTTCAATCATCTTCAATTGAACCATGGTTTGATGCAAGTAGGTTATGTTAACCATCCATCTATTTCTAGTTTTGAATCATCCGACCATGGACATAACTTATCAGTTTTAATGACAGGAACAATATATGCAACAAGAAATCTTCTTATTGGTAAGCTTTTCTCTTATGGATATTATATATATCACTAATCTGGAAGCTTATATTGCAAAATTTGAATGGGGTGATTGCATATGTTATAAGTTTTAACTTATTTTTGTTAAAGGGAGCAACCGGGAGTTTGTTGGGTTCAACACTGATTCGGACGAGTCTGTTATCAGTCTCATATGAAAGTGAGTTGCAGAGTTCTTCCCCAAGTTAAGACCAAATGAAATAAAGAGAGTGAATATAAGAATCATATGGGTAGATAAGAGTAATATGTAGGGTCATGCCACATATTTTCCACTCTTTTTCTATCAAAATATGTATTTGTCATAACCTAATTGATTGATTGAATATGATGATTTTCTACTACTTGACTGTGATAATTATGTTTCAGAAATTGTTATACAAGTGTTTAATGACAGTGACAATTGTTTAGTTGGATCAAGTTACTATTAATAATGTTTTATAATGTTTGGTTATAGACTCTTTAACTTGAAACAGTGAAGGGAAGAAGTGGAAAAAGATCAGAGGTAAGCTTTGAAAACAAAAGTTGATTTTGAGTGACTTATTAAAAGGTTGCTGATTTTTGTTCAATTTCATTTTATTGTAGGCTTTTTGGCCTTCTATTGTGATGAAAAAAAGTTTAATATTAAGCCTAAGGTGAATGCTTTTAGTGAAGATGAAGTTGATACTGAAACTGAGAGTGAAGATGATGATATGAAATTGATTCTATATTCTATTTACTTTTTTTTCCTGTGATTCTTTAAATTAATCGCTTGAATTGATTCTTGATATTGTTGTCATTTGTTGAGGGACTGCACTGGTATTCAATGTGTTGAATTGCAGTTACATCATTCATAGTATTATGGAGAATCCTGATCAAAAATGATAGCGGGCTTGGTCTGGAAGATAGAAAGCAGACTTCAACAAACTATCAATTTGCCCCTTTTGCTTCGGCCTTCGTATCCAAATCCAAAACTTTTGAGAACACTAAAGCGAAGCAGGTGCATGATTGGGAGAGTCTAGCTACTGAACATTCCCCTCAACAAGAATGTGTGGATGCAATGCTGCTAGGATTACCTGAAAATGCATTTATTTGCCTAAAATTTTTTGGACATGTTGATGTGAAATAAGTTGCTTTTTCTGTAACTTGTAATCATGCTTTTGCTTTTGCTGTAACTTCTAAATCTTTGGTGAGCATGAGAATCTACAATTTATCTTCCTTAAATAAAAATGTGATATGTGACTTCTAAATATGATCGACAGATATTTTATACTTCTTCTCTTTATTTTTTTAATCATAAATGTTTATGACTCAAATTAGTATTTTTCAAATATTTATGTTTCTAAAGATTAACATCTCTTTATTCCATCATCTCACCTGCATATTCTATCATACCTACACTAAATATCTCATTAACATGTGTGATACGGTGGGAAGAACTGACTGTTTTTGGAATGTTGGTTTGCGTTTTGCGTTTGTTTTTGCAAAATGTCGCGGTAAGCAAGAGTCGCCACCGACTTTTATTTTATCCAACAAGGAAAGGAAAAAAGCACAGAAAAATTCATTTTTCGAGATTTTCTAGGTACGGGGTAGATTATAGAAAGGGAAGGTATTATCACCCTTTCTATCCGTAGTTATCTACGGGCTCTTAGGTACTTGCTCATCATTTTCAAAATTGTTTTCTTTGTGCTTGTGGGTTTTGAAAAGTTTTTGTTTTTAACTTCGATTTAACTCTTGTTTCTGTCCTCAAGAGTGTAATGAAGTGTTTTTGAAAACTTTGTTTGAAAAGGAGTGTGAGTGTGAAAAGTTTTGTTTCGGATGATCAAGTATCTAAGAGTTAATCTACCTACTCAAAAAAGGAATCGTTCTATGCTAATTTCCTTTTGACAATGTTATTCCACTATTAGTGAGTAGGTAGCAACGTCGTTAGAGTTTGAGGGTCAATTCGAAAGAGGGACATACGGTCACCAAAGCAATGTTAGGACGCCTTAGCGGTAACCCTAATGTCTTAGATCATTTGTTTGAGGCAACAATATCTGAGGCAACTGTTTCGAGGAAACTATGATCTTTTAGACAAGAGGAGGACCTCTAAAACGACTTATACTCAATGATCGTGTACGAAGGCAACCAATTGGGGTGTACCCTAAGAGTGCGCATGTGCGATTGTGTTGTTTTCAGTTATTTTTATCTTTGCACATGTTTAGGGTGATCTAATTTGATTTTAGATTAAACATTCATTCTTGTCATGCAAGCCCTAATTATCAAACATCTAGCAGTTATATAATTTGCGGAATTAAAATGCGTAAATTAAAACTAATTATTATAAGGCGTCGGGTATTTACATCGCCAAAAGCAACCCTTTGAAAATAAAATAAAGTGGTAAAGTAATTAAATGTCCTAATTAATTATTACATACCGAAAGCAGATACATCAATTGGATAAAGAAAAATAAAGCGCGACGCGAAATTAAATCGAATGCGAATTAGGGTTTTGACCCTTTTTAAAAGAAAATGCTTTTTTGTTGTTTTTATTTTAAGAAAAGAAATTAAATCCTAAATTAAATACCAAATTAATTATAAAATAAATTAATTTAAATGAAAAATAATTAATGACATATTTTTGGAGTTTTGATTATTTTAAGAAAGAAAATAAAATAATTAAATGAATGTTAAAACCTAATGATTTCTAATTGATTTTATTTATTCACAAAAATAAATTAAAGTCTCCTAATTAATATTCTAATTAATTAATTAGTATTTATAAATAAAAAATAAAATTCTGAATTAAAAAATATTTTTGTGAGTTTTTTGATAAAAAAAGAAAATTTGTTATTGGTTAGAAATTAATATAAATAAATAAAGTAAATAAATGAAATAAACAAAATATTAGAAAAGTAAGAAAGTGGGCCTGATTTTAGGAGGTGCTAAAAGAAATTTGTTGGCCCATTTGAAACTGGTCCAATTGACTTTTTGGTGATCCCATACACGTGCATTGAGCAGTCTTTTGGTGCACCCTTGATGCTGACCACCAGATCTGGCCGTTTGGCCATCTGGCGTGTTGATTGGTGAGGGAGTATGGTGTGTCTTAGGCTGGCATATGCACTGGCCTGCCACTACATCACTTGTCTTCAGTTGTTAATATGGTACAAATAAATCATAATATAATAAAACAAGTTTCATTGGGTAAATATAAAAAATAGCGTGCCAGATTTGAATGGACTAATGGGGGCGTGACACGCATTGTCACTGTCCTCTGGACCGTGGCTAAAAGTCCCAAGAGTTATACCCACGGACAAATGTTCGTCACTACAAACCAAGCTTATTCCAAAATCCGCTACAGGCCATATAAACGCATTCTAAAACCATGGTTTAGTTCGTCTCAACCTGCTGATCATAACCATAGCCATTATCATGGCCAATTTTTCCTGAAACGAAAAACCCCAAAAACAAGAACCAAACCCTAGCAATGGTGGATCTCCATATAGGTCAGATAAATGCAATTGGTTATTACAAAAAGCTTGCAAATGATTTGTAGATTCAAAATATGCTATCAATTCATGCTAACTATGCCTAAATTCAAGAATACGAAATCAAGAATATAATGAATCTGTGGATGACTTACAGTGCGTATGAGGGTCTGAAAATGATTGGTTTCGCTTGCTTTCGCTTGTGGTGATTGCTAGGAAGAGATTGAGACAAGTCTCAAGTCTTGAAATTGCCTTTATGCCCTATTTCGATCTCAAGATTTTTCTTGTTTTTTGCAAACTTTGTTCTGCCTCTAGAACTGATTTCCCACCCTTGAAATTGTCTGCCTCGCCTCCTTATGTATTGTACAATACATAAGGGTTGTTTTTACTGTCCAAATCTATCTCTATCAATGCTTGAATATTTGATTTGATCTTATTTTACAACCTTCCAATTTTGGCCTAAATCCAATCTCCTTGTACATAATGACCTTGATACGAGTTTGATTGCAGCGCTAGCTGCAGTTGGAGCCTGAAATGATCAAAATATCTTTAGTTTTCAATGTTTTTGATTTTATGTGATTTTATTTGATTTAAAATGAATTAATTCAAATAAAAATCAAATTAAATAATAAAAATATGATATGGACACATGGGCAAGGCTAGAGCACGTGGGAAATAATGCGAATTCAAAACAAGTGAAAAAGAATGGGCCTATTTGGCAAAATTTGAAGTTTTGGGGATAGTTGACTTTTGGCAATTTTGCAAAAAAGTCCAACTTCAACAATGCATAACTTCCTCCATTTTGAACTTATGGAGGTGTTCTTGGACTTTTTAGAAAGCTTGAGATGTCCTCTAATCAAAACATTTGGTCTCATATCATTTTGATATTTCATGCTCAAGTTAGAAGCTTTGACAAAAAATGTGTTTTTGTTGACTTTTCAAAATGACCTATAATGTCAAAATTCATAACTTATTTTGAATGCATATTTTGATCTTGGGGTATGAAGATGGATTGTAGGGAATTGCATCCTCTTCAAAATGAGATTTGGATGGGTCATTTCTTATAAAGTATGAGAAAGTTATGCTTGGTCAAAGTTGAGTTGACTTTTCCTACAAAACCCTAATTTAGCAACTTTTGAATCTTGATGAATTTTGAGAAATCCTTGATGAATCATGATCAACCCTTGATCAAATGATGAAATATATTTCAAAATGAGGATGTTAACAAAAATCTTGAAGTTTGCCTGTATTTGGGTCACAGTTGACTTTTGCCCTAGCACAGTCGATTTTTGGACCTTTTGAGCAATTTGAATTAGCAGAATTCCTCTGCAAGGCTTGAAACTTGACATGGATGATCTTGAGAACATATTAGTACATTTATGATCACTTGGGGTCACTTGGACTCAAGGATCTTGATGCAACACAAAACCCTAATTTGGGGTAGACTGCCTTAGGAGAGAGCTTGTCTGACTAATTCTTGGACTTCCTTTGAGCAACTTGGAGATCTTTCTTGCAATGTTTTGAGGAATATGGGAGGGAAAATTTTGGGGTACAACAGCTGCCCCTGTTCAATCTTCTTAAACCTGAGGATGTAGATTGGCTTTCGTGCCTTTCGTGATCCAAAGGTGGAAGATGATTGAACACTAGAGTGCCCAGAAATTTGCACTCGCATGAAGTGGTAATTGTCTTGTGATGTCGGGAATGGGCTTACAGATG